TGTAGCTGAACTATTTTATGCTTACTGCCTCAGGGAGGAGTTATTATCATAGAGTTCTGATGCTAAGAGCTGAATTCTTGACTTTGGATTTCAAAAGTTAAATCATGCTGCTATAAAGACACATGCACATGTATGTTTATTGCGGCACTATTCACAATAGCAAAGACTTGGAATCAACCCAAATGTCCATCAGTGACAGACTGGATTAAGAAAATGTGGCACATATACACCATGGAATACTATGCAGCCATAAAAAAGGATGAGTTCATGTCCTTTTTAGGGACATGGATGCAGCTGGAAACCATCATTCTCAGTAAACTATCGCAAGAACAGAAAACCAAACACTGCATGTTCTCACTCATAGGTGGGAATTGAACGAGATCACTTGGACACAGGAAGGGGAGCATCACACACTGGGGCCTACTGTGGGGAGGGGGGAGTGGGGAGGGATAGCATTAGGAGATATACCTAATGTAAATGACGAGTTGATGGGTGCAGCACACCAACATAGCACACGTATACATATGTAACAAACCTGCACGTTGTGCACATGTACCCTAGAACTTAAAGTATAATAATAGTAATAATAAAGAAAAAAAAAGTTAAGGTCAAGGCCAGTCATTATTTGGAAGAGCTAGAAGAATATGTCATCAGTCAGAGTCAAGCTCTAGATCTGAGAGCAAAGAGACAATATGCCCTGTCCTTTCCATCCTCCATCCTCCTGCCAGGGCAATGCCCCAGAACTAATAAGGGCCTAGATACCCATGAACTTAGGGTATAGGATGAGAAGAAATGGCCTTATAGTATGTCTAGACAGAAGACTCTACAGCAACCTCACAGGTTCCCATGGTTTCTACAAGGTAGAAACTAACAGCTGAATTTATTTGGCTTCAGATTGGAAGAATAGACTACCTCCTGGATAGTTAAAAGGAGACTGGAATTAGCTCTCAATGAGAACCTGGAAGGAAAAACAGACATGAGCAATCTACATGAATGAAGGATAAATGACTGAGGACCAGAAAGACCAAAGTACGTATATCCCAGCAGATGACAGCAGAGGACCAGATGCCACACTCTTCCAAGCCTCATCCTCTCAGCACAATTCCAAGGAGAGGAAGGGTAAGCTTCTTTCATGGAAAGAAAAGACATTTGTAAAAGAAATTGAATAGTACTGTGAATCATAAAGGAAGGTGTTAATTGCACTGACTCTATAGTCTGAGGTTCATACCCAATTCATATCCTTTACATTTGGATTGATCCTCAAACATCTAATAGTGTGTTGTACAAACAGTATGAACTCTCTAGCTATTTGACACATTTATTGACTTCATTCTATGTTTGCTCAACTCTCAGTGGCCATAGCTTTCTGTGCTCTCCAATACGGCAGCCACTAGCCATCTGTGGTTATTGAATATTTGAAATGTGGCTAGTATGGACTGAAATGTGCTATACATGTAAAATACACACCAGCTTTTGAAGACCTAGCACAAATAACAAGAATGTAAAATGTCACATTAATAGTGTTTATATTTATTGCAAGTTGAAATGATAATATTTTGGCTTAATAAAGCCATAACATATTGGCTTAATAAAAATATACCACTAAAATTACTTTCACATGATTCTTTCCACCTTAAAAAAATATGCCTACTGGGCAATTTAAAATTGTATTATGTGACTTGCATCACTTTTCTATTGGACAATGCTACCTTATATGCTCACTCATGTTGATTTCATTTGCTTTCACCTGAGGAGCCATTATCACTGCTTAATTTGTTCCATGTGCAAGCGGACACTCAATGACTTTATAATGATGATGTCTAAACATTTCCTGACAAAGTGTGCTGCAAATTACACAAATTTCTTGTATCTCATTTCTCAATGATAGGACTTGGGAATAATCATTGGGAATGATTGCTCTGTCTGTAATTAGTATAAAAACGAGATTTTCTTTACAAGAACTAAGACAACATTTTCTTAAAAATGCTTGGTGGCTTAAATGTAAATAAATAAATAATGAATAATTTTTTCACAAGACAATGAGAACCAGGACAATGAGAAAAAAAATCATCCTGTGTGGTTTATTTTGGTTAGATTTATTACCTAATCCATAATGTTATGTAATATGGAGTAACAAATTAAAAATAGGACAATTTGAAGAAATTTTACTTATAAAGGTACAGGGAATCACACAGACAGTACAGTAATCGAGAGATAGTAGCCTCTGAGATTTTGTGCCTAGAACTGAAGTTTAACATTTAGAAAGTTTCTGAGTCCATTTGGGCTGCTATAGTGAAATACCATACATTGGGTGGCTTATAAACAACAGAAATTGATTTCTCATGGTTCTGGAGGCTGGGAAGTCCACATCAAAGTGCCGACAGATTCAGTGTCTGGTAAGGGCCTACTTTCCGATTCACAGATGAAATTGTTTCACTGTGTCCTCACATAGTGGAAGGAGTGAGGGTTCTCTCTCAGGCCTCTATTATTAGGGCACTAATTCCATTCATGAGTGCTCCAACCCTATGACTTCATCACCACCCCAAAGCCCCGCCTCCAAATACCATCACCTTGGGAGTTAGGATTTCAACCTATGAATTTTGAAGGAAGAGAAACAATCAGACCATAGCAGAAAGATGTGACCTTCACTTATAGGTATGACCAGCTTTAAGGAACCCCTTAAGGATAGGAGCAGGAGAATGAATACTCTGACTTCACTTTCCTCTAATTCTCTAATCTCCTATTAGTGTTCTTCAGCAGCCAAACCCAGTCAGAAACCAGAAGGCATTGGAGCCTTGTTGATATAGTTCATACCGATCAGCATCCCAGAGCAAGTAACAGGACAAAGGGAAGAGTGTACCTATACAAGAGCAAACAGAAAATATATGGCATATTCTGTCTTTTCAGAATCATTTATCATACTGCTAGACAAATAGGTCACCTTCTTTCCCTCATCCCATTCTCTCTTAAATAGAAAATTAAATCTTAAAACCTGAATAGAAGACAAAAGTCCACAATCAGTGCTCTGTTTCTCACACACTGTGAGCTTTCCTCAGAAGGTATTTTACCCCTATGGCCCAACTCAGCGTCTACATATGCTGACGGCTCTAAAATCCATAGCTGTGTGCCCAGGTCTCTTTCCTGCCCTCTAGACGAGCAGATCCAACTGTATGCTAGTTAGCTCCCGCAGGATGCCTCACAGGCTTGTCAAACTAGTGTGTTCAACAAAGCACCCACCACTTACTGCATAATATCCTGATAGAGTTGCAATGCCAAGGAGCATGTTTTCTGTTCATTGTCTAAAATGATGATAAAGTTTAGAAGAGGCTGTTTTAATTGTGATTAGGAACAGCTTATACTAATTGTGGTTATTATAAAGATATGAAAAATCCATATCATCGTCCATGGTTCATACACCAACACATAGCATGGGACTTTTGCCACTTATGATGTCCTCTATGTTAGTCTTAATTTGCTTTCACCTGAATAATTGCACTAGTCAATACATATTGAGTACTTCCTATGTGTCAGGTATTTGTGCTCTTAAATTTCAGTCTCACAAGAACCCAATGATGAAGAGGAAATGGAGGCTTGTAGGGGTTGTCATCCCCAAGGACTCATAGCTGATAAGGCGTGGAGGTGAGTTTTAGATAGCCTAACTCCAGAACGTATATGCATGTCATTCCTCTGCAATACTGAATACAAATCATTCTTACAGTACAGGGAGGAGGGGTTAAAAGGTCACGAACTAGGAGCTCTGCTGAGTCCAACACTGAAGATGCTAAGGGTAAGGAAAATATAATAGGTCTTGAGGAAGCTGGAGAGTAGAGATTATAAAGTAAAAGTAGCCGAAGATACAGGATACAAGATTTTTAAAAAATTGTTCTTTTCCTTTTAAAGAAAAACGTTAGTTAAGCATGCAGTGTGCTAGGCATTGGGGATAGAAAAGCTATAAGGACAATTTCAATCTAGTGAGAAAGAAAGGTAAATACTTTATAATAAACTTTAAAATTTAGATTTGTATGCAAGGTTCACAGAACATTAGAGAAATTATAGACAGAATTTATTCATTCATTTTATTCATTCAGAGGGCATTTCTTGAATACCCACCGCATTATGCTTGAAGCCGGAGAAACAAAAAGGGCAAAGATAAAGGCATTATCCTGAAGAAACTCACAGTCTAATGAAGATGCTTCTGGGGTGCTGGGCAGGAAGCAAGGACGGAGCTACACGAGCACAAAAGGATTACATAGCCTCGAGTGCTCAGATAATGCCAATTTAGTGTTACCTACGCAAAAAGTTAGGGCTTTGGGTTGGCAACAGTAGAGGATGCTACAGAGGAGTGCAGTGGACAGATCCAAAGGGCTTGGACTTAACTATGACAACCCAAATTGTTGCTGGAGGAACACGCAATGCAAGGGAACATGCATTTTCCTGCAGCATCAGTTTTGTTATGATGTGGAGCACAAAATCATGCTTTTTACTACTTAAATGCGGATATACTGTGAAGAATGCAATAACATGAGATTCATACAATATGACAGGAAACGAATTTCCACAGCTAGGCTTATGAGTTAGCCAGATAGGACAGGAAACTACAAGAAAATCCCACAGCTGGGCATGCAGATGGCTTTGGCTCTCACCCCTGAAGACTCGGGTGGAGGAGTTCAGAGTCTTCAGCTCTCCGGGTATCTAGGGTAAGATAGTTGAGGAACAATGCGTATTAAGTGTGCGAGAAAAGCGTTTAGGAGTTAAGCGCATGGGTTGGAGAGAGGTTAGGGCGCAGGCGACTGGGAACCCGTCATCTTCCCTCTGCTCTCTGGACCTCTTAGTCGAAAAACATCCTCCACCAGGTGCCTCTTTGTCGCTAGAGACAGCGTCTGTAGTTCGTGAGCTGCTCGCGGAACGCCTGGCGGCTGGTTGCCTGGGCAACCCTCTTCCGGGGCTCCTCTGCGACCTCTTACTATTGGTTTAGAAGACGCAGCGTGCGTCTGACGTCTTTGCGCGGCGCGACCAGATTCGGGGCGGGCCGCGCGGAGCCTTATTTCCCCGAACGCCGGCGCTCGGTGGCAGTGGTCGCGGCTGTTGGCCCACCGAGTGCTGGGCATAAGCTCCCCCGGCCCCCGGTGGGGGGCAGCTTGTGTGCCGGTCGCGGCGGGAGAGAGGCGCGGTAGGAACGAGTCCCCAGAGCCGTGAACCGCGGGTACGGGTGTCCAGTCCGCGCTGTCGGCCAAGCCGGTTTGCTTCCTGATCTGTGGCTAGGGCCCTGGGACCCCGTTGCTAAGGACCCTTGAGATCGTGAGCACTTGGAGTGTGCCCCTCCTTTCCTGGGGTAGAGGGTCTGTCGAGAGTATCCTTCGTTAACCTTAATTAAAACTGGTAAACTCCTTCTCTCTCGGCCCATTTAAATAATCTGTTTTTTCTTTTTCTTTTTTTCTTTTTTTTCTGTGTCTTCCTCTTTTGTTAACTTTGATAGCATCCTGGCCCTGGACTGGTCTTTAAGTATCTAGAAGTGAGTGTAGGAGGGGTGGCTGGGAAGATGGAAAGTTGATTCTAAGACCCCTAAGCAGATTCTGCGACCCCTAATACTGGCCCTTTGAATTTGTGGTTAAACAAAGGGATTGGGATAAGTGACTATTGGACTCTGGGTCTTTTAGAATTCGACAGAGCTTTACAAATGGAACATGGTTTCTTTAGTGGGCATCTTACACGTTTGGAACTTTCTAGACCTGGATTAGAAAGCAGGAAAAAAATGTGGCCTCTGCTGACTGAGAATTTTTTTAGTTCAGTGGTCTAAAAGCTGAGTACAGAAGAAAGTACATACAGGGAAAGAAATGGGCTATATCAGCTGTACAAACAGTGATAGAAAGTACACTTTCCTACCATTGACAAAGATGCCGGCAGTCCCTTGTAGATAGATGACCTGTAGCAGCCAAGGAAGCTTTAAGAGGAATGTGTGGGCTTCATAGGGTGGTTTGTTTGCTTTCTGATATTGTGACGTAGTTTAGTTCCAGGTTAAGTGGATTTATGGATTCTAATATCTATAATTAGAACCTTTATCTTGTTTTGTAAAAGAATGAGCGGTGACCTTGATAATATTTATAACGCAAAATAGTTCTTACTGCTTCGCTTCTTCCCATCACTGCCCCTTTACACCATCCTTCACATGTTATTTAATGGAAAGCCACTTGGAAGAGGAGTTACCAAGGATACGATTTATTAAACTTTCTTTCACAACTCATACTCCAGGCTTGTCAGTGGTATGCTCCCAGGTGGTTATTTTTAAAAATTGACCACACTTCCAGTTGTCCCTTGGTGTGCGTGGAGGATTGGCTCCAGGACTCCCTCCCTCCCCCCAGTCTCTTTCAGATACCCAAATCCACCCATGTTGAAGTCCCCCAGTCTGCTTTCCGTATCCGTGGTTGGGTCAATCTATAGATGTCGAACCCGCGTATACGGAGAGCCAACTGTAATTTGTCCTTAAGGTAAAGGATAAAAAAGTGAAAAAGCAATTGCTTTGGAAAGAAACTAATACAGAATTTTGAAAGGGAATGTATACATGTTTGCATTACTGTATATGTATTTATTGCTGAAAATTATGTAAGTATATTGTACTTAAAAATTGTCCTGTATACTCAAACTGTAGAAGCTCAATTTTCTAGCATGTTTAAGACTTTTTCAAATGAGTTTTGGTGACTTTCTGAACTCATTCAAAATATAATGCAACACCTTCCCATTGGTTTGTTACAGGAACAACTTTTTGACATGAAGGAAGATAGAAATTTAACTATAAAATTCCATCCAAAACTTCTACTGAATTGGTAGGTAGTATTGAAAAATGTGCATCATAATTTGATGTGGCTGCCTATGCATTTGTTATGTTTGTGGGTGCGCATCTTTGCTTCGTGTTGATCTGTTGCAGCTGTTAACAATTGATGATCAAAAGAAATTGAACTCACCTGGTCTTCAAATTGATGTAGCCCTAGATGTTAAACCAAATTTTTTAAGGAGAAAACATTTGGTCACACTGTTGTTAGTAATAGTAATACTAAAGAACACTTTGTACCCTTGTAAAGAAAATTATAATAATAGCTAAGACTCATGTGGCCCTTACTGTATGCCAACCATTATAGAAATGTTGTTTTACATATATTCGTATTAGTCTTCATCAACACTTAAAGTAGTTCCTGTAATTATGCCCAATTATGGAGTTGAGGAAACTGATGTATTTTTTTTTTTTTTTTTCAACAGAAACTTGTGTTGTTCCCCCTCCAGGAGCTTCTCAAAACAGAAGTCAGGCACCATATTAAATACTTGTTGAATGATCACAGAAGTACGATAGTAGGTTAACATATTTGAAGCTTCTCTCAGCTTATTTTAGAATATTATCTGACAACTTTAATGAGATTTTAATTACCATAGTACTAGAAAATGCTCTGGGGATGAAGGTGAAGTGTGATAACTGGGAAATAAGTCATCTGCTGGTAGTGGGATGAGATAAATGAGATCAGTGTATTAAATCAAGGAAATTGAAATTCAGTGTGCAGAAGCAAGTTTACATTTAGTTTATCTTTACATGGTATCAGACTTTAAGCTGGTACATCATGTTTGAGATATCTGGCTATTTGTCCTCCTTTTGAGGATTTCTAATTTGTTAAGTGGATTAAAAGCATTTCATGTGAGGAATAATTTTAAAAAGTATCAGTGTTTATCCTGAGGAAGAAAAAATGAAGAAGTTAAGAGTTAATGCCATCAAATATTTGAAAAGCTGTCATTTGGAGGTGGAAGAGGACTTTACCTGTGTTGTCCTAAGGGAAGATCTTACGCTATACTTGAGAGGCAGTCATTATTAAAGGCATTAAAGTGAGACACGTGCTAATAGAGTAACTAGTTGTCATGGAAGTGAGGGAACAGAGTAATCAAGCAGAAATAAGGACACAGGATAGAAATCAGAATGCCATAGAAATATGCATTTGAAAAACCAAGATCAGGAAAGGCTTCATGTAAGTTGGGAATGAAGCTTGGCCTAAAAATACCAGTAGGCACTAGGGTATGAGTGTGTGTGTGTGTGTGTGTGTGTGTATTCCTTGCTAGAGATACACAATTGTAGAAATTGACTGGATTAGCTGGAAACCTTGGGATATGAACTAGAGTCCTCCTTTAGCAGAAAAAAAGGAACTGTGTAAGGGAAAAGTGAACCAATATTCCGTGGGTGAGTAACTTGAGAGATAATTTCATTTACTCCCCCAGAAAACCTTGATAGGCTTTTATTTCCCTCTTTAAGCAGGTCAGGAAGTCGAGGTTTAGGGAGGTTAAATCTGCCTAAATTCATAAACTTCATAATTGGTAGAACTGAGATGTAGACCCATATTTGAGCCCAAAGCTCGCTCTTTGTCATCACAACATGTAGCATTGAGTGTAGGAAATGAAGGAAAAGGAAACAATGGTGATTCTGGTTTTCAGTATGAGGACCAGAAAACTGGTGGTACCCTGGGCTAACAAGGGATTCATAACTTCAGTGTGACAACCTCGGTTTTAGTTATATTAAGTTTAAGGAGCTTGTGATACATTGGATAGGAGAGTTCATTATGTCACTGGAAAAGTAGAGCTTGATGTGCACATGTTAACATTTGGAACTTCGGAAATAAGCCAGAGAAGATGGAGAGGATGATAGGGGATGTGCCAACCACTCCTTTCAGAAATCTAGTCTGTGTTTTCTAATGTGGCTAAGGATTGGAAGTGAGTTTCTAACAGTTTATTTTGACAATTTGAATGGAAAAAAAGTTGACTTTTGTACATCATTTTCTTGGAGATGATTATTTTGCTGTTACTGATACTATTGAAGTTGACATAATTTCTTGTTTTCTCATTAGTCTTTTCCAGTATTTTGCTCCATATCAACTTTTTTGTGTATCTTTTACTGTATTATATAATTGTATACTCTGTTCTGGTTTGGTCTTTGTATTGATAACAAATGCTCCTCCAAACAAATTTTGAAATCAACTTTTTTTTTTTTTTAACTGCAGGAGTGAAAGGGAAGCAATGCAGAAATCGGAGGGCTCTGGAGGTACACAGTTGAAAAACAGAGCAAGAGGTACAGAGCTTTGTGTTTTAAGTGAAGAGGCCAAGTTTGTTAATGGCACTTTATGTTTTACAGATGGATGCAAAGTGAACTTTATTGCTTTTACCTGGTTTTTATTGACGTTCTGTTTTGTCCAGGTGACTATGATCAGAGGACATCATCAAGCACACAGATAAAACACAGGGATGCAGTTCAAGGAAGCAAATCCTCATTGTCAACCATTTCTCCAGAGTCTGCAAGAAAACTTCATCCTCGACCAAGTGATAAACTGAACCCTAAAACAATTAACCCGGTAGGTCCAAAACTACTCCTAACTCAGTAGATTTTTTAAAGGCATTTCACACAGTGTTGAACAATTCTGGATGCTGTCTTGAGTTTTGTCCCTTTACTAGTTTTGAGCTAATGATGAGGAAGGGCCTGTGGTTATGATGATGAGGTACTGAGATAATCAGTCACATGTGGGAGTGAGTATGGAGGTAAGGAGACACAGAAGTTAACCTCTTTGGGTTATCGCATTGTAGTGCATAGAAAATTGCACTTTAGCTTTAGATTTTATTTGCAGTGTTGTTTTACTTCCCAATGAATAAACTTGTATTCAGTTGCCCCAGAATGCTTTTCGTGCTTCCATAGTTGCATAAAGGTCTCTGACTGTTCCTCTGTATTCTGTAAATTAGCTCCACTAGAAATCCTAATTGTAGTACTAGCCTCCTTTGCCCTTTCCTAACAATTTAATGAGATTTAATAAACATGGGATTTATGTAATAAAAAACAGAAGTGAACACACCTGTGCAACAGCACCAGCTGTTATTTGTCCCATGCTCAACTCAGGGTGAGATATTAGTGATTTCAGCTTTCGAAGGGGATTGTGAGAGTGGCTGAAGCTCCTGACTGACTTTGATGGTAGGTAGAGTATGGCAGGTACTTAAGCAAGGAAGTAAGGGTATAGTGAGCTCTCCAAGACGGAAGGAGTGTCTGGCTTGATAAAAGAAAAGTGAAAAATAGTTGGAGCGGCTATGTTCCTTTGCTTCTTTCTGTAATCTGCAGTGTCAAGGAAATTGAATACCTGAAGAAGGCCCTAATAATCTTGTTGCTCTCACTTCCTTTGCTTATATTTAGTTGAGGGAGTTTGTGGTGACGCTTCAATTTTCTTCGTCTCTTTAAAATAAGTACTTTTTGAATTAATAATATTTAATGACCTTAGTCCTAAGTTTTAGTAAAAATTGAGGAAAGTTTTGGGAAATAGTTAAATAATTTGACCTGAGATAAGCATGTCTAAGATATGTAAAGGCTACCAATCTAAAATGAGTTGGAAGTCAGAATAATATTTACCTCTGGACGAAAGGTAGGGATTTGGGAGAGGCAGTGGAGGCATCTGGTGTGCTGGAAACTTTCAGATTTTTCAACTCTGTTAATAAACAGGTGTGTTCATTTTATGTGAATTCACTATTGTGATTTATGCACATTAATATTTTAAATATTTGAGTTAAAAAACTTTGAAATGCTAATTCAGTATAGTATGGTATATAACATTAATGCAGAGTTGAACTATGGTCTGAAATTGTTAAAAATTGAATGGGATAACATTTTTCCCTTTAGACTTGGTAAAATTTGGTTAAAATCAATAAAAGTAATCCATTCATAAATTCTGATTTTGTGGGACGTGGAAGATGAAACCATGATTATCTCTAGAACAAAATAGAAAGGCAAAGGAATTGTTTAACATTTCAATCAGAAATGTAGTCTCTGTGGGTATTTTGAAAATTTAGGGATTATTTTCATGATCTGTAAGGGCCAAAAAGATCGTTTGCTTGTAGGTGGTAGAAGTAAAATATGTTGAGAGTATAGTACTAATTTGTCTTAATTTTTTCCCCAATATGTGGAGCACTTTTTTCAAATACATACATCCAGGCATATATTTGTGAGAATCTTCTCCATCTTCTATTCTCTTTTTTCAAATAACTTTCTTACCTAATATGTTTATTACTTGAAAATAATTTTTAAAACTTGTATTTCTTTCTTAGCAGAAATTGTAACTAGATAAGTGAAACATTCCTCTTGTGAATTGTTACACATAACATGAATTGAGTTCTGGAAATGAATCTTTTTTTTTTTTTTTGAGACGGCATCTTGCCCTGTTGCCCGGGCTGGCGTGCAGTGGCGCGATCTGGGCTCACTGCAAGCTCTGCCTCCCGGGTTCACGCCATTCGCCTGCCTCCTCAGCCTTCCGAGTAGCTGGAACTACAGGCACCTGCCACCATGCCTGGCTAATTTTTTGTATTTTTAGTAGAGATGGGGTTTCACCATGTTAGCCAGGATGGTCTCTATCTCCTGACCTCGTGATCCACCCGCCTCAGCCTCCCAAAGTGCTGGGATTACAGGTTTGAGCCACCGCGCCCGGCCAGAAATCAGTCTTTTATTATAATTTAACTTGAATGAATTTTCTCCTGTGTGCTTTTACTCAAAACTTATGCTTTTCCAGAGGAAAAAAGAGCTGATTCTAAACTTTTTAAGGACATTTTAAAACTACCACTGTGTGTGACTTAAAAAACATTATGTAGTTATGTCTTTAAAACAAGTCAATTTATATTTTGTAATTCAGGCAACTATTTTTTCATTTGATTATATATTAAAAGTACCATGTGATAAAATATTTACTTTTCGTTCCTAAATCCTCTTTAAGTCTCTTATTAATTATATTGAAATTATTTTTGCTGTGATTTTTTGATTGTTGAGATTAACCATCCCTTAAATCATCTTTGAGAGTAGGTATAAAATCAATCTATTCAGATATAGCAAAACTGAAAGGTTATGAAGTTATATATCTAAAAGAATACATCCAGGCGTGTATTTGTGAGAATCTTCTCCATCTTCAATTCTCTCCCTCCTGCCCAGTGTAATCCTTTGTTTTTTATAGAAGCCTAAAGCCAGTTTGGAGAAATGTGACTACCTACACCATCTGTATTTGGCTGGAGGACAAAGTAGGAGATGTGCAGGAGGCAAAAACAAATATACTTTTCCTGTACTTAACACCCCGTCTCCATAGAGTCCTCACCTTGAAGGGTCACCGTGGGAAGAGGGTAGAACTATCAATATGTGGTTTCAGCCGCCTTCAAGCATTCTGAATCGTTAGGGGAAAAAAGATGTACAAAGTATAGTTGTGGTATTCTAATAGTGAGAGAATTGACAATTTTTCTCAATTGTGTTGCGGGGTAGAAATGGTACACTTTGATACCAGCTTGGTGGTTTGAAAAGCAAGATGGCTGTGTGCGTCTGACCTCAGAAGTATGGGTGATAGTAATATTTTCATTTTTTATTTTAGTTTGGTGAACAGTCACGAGCGCCTTCTGCATTTGCAGCTATTTACTCTAAAGGAGGTATTCCTTGCAGGTAAAATCAACACAATTTATAACTGACCAAATTATTCAAAATCATTGAGTAAAATCAATACAGTTTAGTTTAAATGTATTGTAAGTTTTATTTACTAGTGAGGTTGAAATAAAGGTGACTGTATTCACACTTTCTTTTGGACTGTTATAGATCCCTGGATGTTGTTGAAGATAACCATTTTAATTCCAAAATACAGTTATTGGGATATATGATAAACCATCAATTAGTTTAAGAAATTTACATAAACCCTTTTTCTGAAATAAGCAATTTAAGCATTCACAGGCTTGGGCAAGTTGCAAATTAAAAAATCCTATCTTGTTGGTAAAATGAAAGTTGTCAATTTAATGAAATTGTTTGTTTCATAGTAAATACATATGGCCGTTTTTGCTTCCTTTTGGATATAATTCTTGCTGCCTTTCTAGACAGATGTCAGAACTATTTTTTAAAAAATACAGACTATGGATAATATATCATTTTATGATTTATTTCTATAAAGCATTTATGTCTTCAGAGTACATCCAGTTTTAGCCTGTTCTAGGTGATAGAAAATTTTATTTTGATTGTGGAAAGGATTGCAACATTTATTTATTTTTGTTCCAAAGTTCAAGAAATCTAGTTTTTTAATGGTATTTTCAGATTTGGAGTGAAAAATAAGCTCAATAAATACTCTTCAGTTTATTATTTCATATTTAGATTCTGATTTGAAACCCTATTTAAAGGTTCTTAACTCTCTACTCCCCACCCCTCAACAATTTATTGTTGCAAAAATGTAAAAACAATTTTACAGAGACGTCTTGCTCTTATGAAAATAAGCCTAAAGGAGTCAAGAAGTTGATAACATTACAAAGGAGTTCAGAGAAGCATTTAGGTTGATGGATTAAGTTCACTATCATGATTGTGATGATAGTTCCTTGAGTGTATTTGTACATAAAAACATACCAAATTGTATACATTAAATATGTGCAGTTTATTGCAAATCAGTTATTCCTTAATAAAGGCTGTAATCCCAGCACTTTGGGAGGCCAAGGCAGGTGGATCACCTGAGGTCAGGAGTTCGAGACCAGCCTGACCAACATGGAGGAACCCCCATCTCTACTGAAAAAAAAAGAGGCAAGCCGGGTGTGGTGGCACATGCCTGTAATCCCAGCTACTCAGGAGGCTGAGGCAGGAGAATTGCTTGAACCTGGGAGACAGAGGTTGCCGTGAGCCAAGATCGCGCCTTTGCACTTGAGCCTGGGCAACAAGAGCGAAACTCCATCTCAAAAACAAAACAAAGCAAAAAAAAAAAAAAACAGTTAAAAGAGGCAGAAACCCTAATTCAGGGGCCACCACTTTGTAACCCTGAGTGGGCCATTTTACCTTCCTGGCCTTAGTTTTCTTCTCTTTAACAGGGAGAAAACTTGGTTTTGCCTTCAGGTTGTTAGTGTTAGGGTTACATGATCTATATCTGAAAAAGAATGTTCCTTGTACAACATTTTTAATAATTACTACATTTTGTTTGCATTTTTTCATTTCTGTAGATTACCTACTGTGTCATATTACTGAAAGATATCACCTGGAACGTTTGCGTTAAGATTCACAGACAGCAACATGCTTAAGCACCAAAACTGTAACTTTAACACACGTGGGGTCACTTTTGCTGAAAGAGTAGGATTTTGTAGGATTATTGACATTGCTTTGTAAAATGTCCTTGTTCTAATATGGTTATGCTCTGTGTTAGATGATACCTGCTTAATATAGAATTATATTTTTCTTGTTGCATTCACTGACTTTTATGTTTTAGATTGGTACATGGTTCAGTAAAACACAGATTACAGTGGGAATGTCCTCCTGAAAGTCTTTCATTTGATCCACTTCTTATTACTTTAGCCGAGGTAAATATGTTATCTCTTCTATTAGGAAAAAAATGTTAAAAATTGCATTAAATGTTACTTTGTAGCTTGTCAGTAAATTTCATTCTGTGCTTTTGAAAAAGGAAGCACACAATAGGCATTGAAACACCACACCCCCTTAGGAAATAATTATGATTCTTACATAGTTATTTGAAATTGATTAATCAGCTTTGTAAACATGGAATTAGTCTGCGTCGGGATTTATAGATAACTGGATGAAATATTTGTACTTATTTAAAAAAATACGTGGACTCATAATGAGGAGAGAGATTTTTTGGTAGTAGTGAAATCAGGGAAACATCCGGGATTAAACTGAAAACTGTCAGATAGTGGTAAGTGGTTCTGTGTACAACCAATCGTGTTGACATGATGTGTTTCTTAGGGAATTGAGACTACCTACCTAAGTGTTCTTTTGGAAAACACTCCAGCTCTCTGCTTTACTTGTACATTTCCAGTACAATATCATGGAGGTAGTTTTATAGGCTATTTTAAAAAAAAAAACTTTTGATAGCTTTCTTTATATAGTTTAACATTTGTGTCAGGAAAAATGTTGGTGGAGTCTTAGCTTCAAGTGAATCACTGCTATCTTCTATGAATTTTATTCCTAGAGTTAGAATCAGAAGTAGAGCAATGAATTAACCAGCTGTCTTGTATTAAACTTTTAATTACTTGCCTTGTTAAAAGTTAAGGATCATTTTGTTGTCATTAGTAAGAAACAAATGATTCGAGTTTGGGTGATGTTAGTAATAAAACACCTGAGTTCTTTCACTGATAGTTTTACTTAGATTAGTTACTACTGTGTAACTTACTCTGTAAACATGGCAGTGCCTTTTTAGGTTAATATCATTTGCCTTTCCTATAAAACCTGTGGGGAGGACCAAGTGGGAGCAGAAGAGAAAAAAGTAATTTTTTCCAATTGAGATTCTTTAATTAAAATGAAACATCAAAGTCTCTAGTTCCTCCTTTAATTTTCCAAATATGTTTACTCTCTTAAGAGTAAACTAACCAGTTACTAGCAAAAACTATAAGTTTTTGTTTTTCTTAATTTATTGCTCAGTATTACAGGTAGTGTATTTTTACAGGTAGCCTATTTTGAAATTCAGTTCTGAAGTTGGCATTAAAGGTTAGATTGGGTACTGTCGTTCATGCTTGTAATCCCAGCACTTTAGGAGGCCAAGGCGGGAGGATCAATTGAGCCCAGAAGTTTGAGAACAGCTTGAGCAACATAGGGAGACCCTGTTTCTACAAAAGAAAAAAAAATTCACGTTAGCCAGGCACAGTAGAGTGAGATGCTGTCTCACACACACACACACACACACACACACACACACAAAATTTGTGATGTTTCCTTAGTTCTTATTTAAACTTTAAGCCTTTTGTACCGGGTAGGAAACCATGTTTTTTTTGTTGTTGTTTTTTTTTTGTTTTGTTTTTTGTTTTTAGACTAATCAAAACTGGTGATAGCTTGGAAAGTGTACTGTAGCTAATCACATTGTACAGGGAGTGCTTTAATTTGGGATCTTTAAAGGGACGCTAACTTCTGCTTAAAGTCAGCTTTTTATGTACCTATTGTCCAAATGTCAATGCTTTTCTTTCTGTATTGAGTAGATGTTTGTCTTTCTCCTGGCCTCATTTTCTAACAGATAAGTAGTGACAGAAGAACCATGGCTGAAATCCACTTCAGCTTTTAATCTGAGAGTTATCTCTAAAATGAATAGGATACAGGACACTGCTAAGATGGTAGAACCTGTGATCCAAAATGATACCCATGTGCTTGGCAGGATGGTTTTCAAAAGCATGACACCTTTGAGGAAGGGAAATGTTTCATTACTATTTGGAAGCAGATATTTAGGTCTGAAGGACAAATTAGTTGAAAATTAGTATTTCTAAGCATGATTTTGCAGCTGATTATATTTATTTACTTCATAGATAATTAGTCAAACTGAAGGAGTTTACTGTTGATTTTGTTTGTTTTGCTTTATCATTTTGAAAAAAGTCAGATGGCCCTTTTATCTTGACTCACTGTGATTGGTAAAATCATAAAAGAGTCCTAGCTAATTGTTTCTAATGCATTTAGGGTGAAAGGCATAGTGAGATATGATCTGCAGTTTTTAAAAAATATTTTCATACTGCATTTCAGTATTACAAATGATATTTAAAATCTTAACATGCCTTTAAAATGCATATAGTATAATACTTGCTTTCTAAATATGTTAATATAAAATACTTAAATGAAGGAAATTTATTTTAGAAACTTATTAAGTCATAAAATCACTAAATGTAGTGGGTCTCATAGCCGTGCATTCATAAAGGAGTGGTTATAAACAGAGTAATATGCTCTGCTTTCAGAAAGTGTTTGAGTGTGCGTAACAAAATGTTTTTATTATCCTAGTGAGTTTCCCTTCTTTTTTCTGTATTTTCATTTACCTTTCCTTTTCCTCCTTCCATTTCCTGCTTTTTCCTTCTTCCCTATTTTCTCTTTCTTTTTATATTTTTTCTTGCCTCCGCTGTTTTTCATTTCTTTTCTTTTCCTTTTTCTTATTTTTCTTCTTTTTCTTCTCCCTTCCTTGCCTTCTGTGGGTAGAGATTACTCCTGTCTCCTGTACGGCTGGCCCTTCCTATCCATGGGTTCCACATCTAGGGTTTCAACCAGCTGCAGATAGAAACTATTAAAAAATACAGTGCAACAATAAAAAATACAAATAAAACAATACAATATAAAAATTATTTATGAAGCATTTGCATTGAAATAGGATTATAAGTAATCTAGAGATGATTTAAAGTATATGGGAGTATGTGCACATAGTGTGCTATTTTATATGAGGAACTTTAGTATCCACAGGTTTTGGTATCCATTGGGGTCCTGGAACCAGTCTCCCTTGGGATACCAAGGGACCCTTTGTCCCATAGTTTCTCAGTGTAACTGAAATTGTAACTGCTGAAATTGTAATTATGATTAGGAAAACAAGAATGAAACTTGATTTTTGTTTAAGCAAGTAAAGATTCAATTTTTCTGTTATTACCATAATGAAATGGGTAGTAGATCATGTTTCCTCTTGGTCTTTGGCAGGGTCTGAGAGAAACCAAGCATCCATACACCTTTGTGTCAAAGGAGGGTTTTAGAGAATTACTTTTGGTCAGAGGTGCTTCTGAAAAAGCTGTTCCTTTGCTACCTAGACTGATTCCTGTGCTAAAGACAGCTCTGGTATGTCATGTATTTCATTGTACTTTATAGTTGAAAACATATGATAGAAAAGAAAGCTGTAATATATTTAAAATATTGTGTCTTTTTTCCTCCAAATTATATGCAAATTAGTTCTTTATCTGTGATTGTGACATATTTGCAGAATTAGGCAACTATTACTCAGGGCCAGATAACTACATACTTGAAGACATCTTTAGAGGATGTACTAAAGGTAAAAAGGGACATTTTAAGTAATTTGAGGAAGTAATGAACCTCAAATCAGTCTTTCTGTATGCTAGATATATTTTAGTTAATGCTTCAGTCAGATGGAAAATTTGCTTTTTGCTTCTAGATGTCCTGTGTTGAAGGTTATTTTTAAAATTCTAGGTTTTGTTGACTATCTTCTGATTTTAGATGTTTAATCTTACCCTTTTCTCTACTTGCTTGCCCTTTTGTCTCATCTATCTTTTCTTTCCTTTTCTCCTGTCTTCCCTGATGCCCCTACATTCCCAACTAACCAACCCTACAGGTCCATTCGGATGATGAAGTGTTTGAAAGAGGATTGAATGCCCTAGTTCAGCTAAGTGTTGTTGTTGGTCCTTCTCTAAACGACCATCTGAAGCATCTGCTTACAAGCGTAAGTACTGCAGAGATTAGATAATGATTGGCTGTATGTATCATGCACCAATCATATCTCTTTATGATTTAACAACTTCAAATCTTTAACTCAAAACTTTAAAAATCTTATCATCCTTAACAAAAAATATAAAATTCATAAAACATTTTGCTAATGGACAGTATTAGTTTTATTATTATTTTTTTTAATGGAAAACAGCTACATGAGCAGAGTTTAGGGTTATAATAAAAAGTAAACCAGCCAGGCTTGCTGGCTCACGCCTGTAATCCTAGTGCTTTGGGGGCGGAGGTGGGTGGATTGCCTGAGCTCAGGAGTTTCAGACCAGCCTGGGCAACATGGTGAAACCCCATCTGTACTAGAATACAAAATGTTAGCCAAGTGTGGTGGCATGCACCTGTAGTCTCAGCTTCAGGAGGCTGAAGGAGAATTGCTTGAACGTGGGAGGCGGAGGTTATAGTGAGACGAGATTGTGCCACTGCATTCCAGCCTTGGTGACAGAGTAAGACTTGGTCAAATAAAATAAAATAAAAGGTTGAATGGATAAAAGCTAATGAACAGTAAGATGGTATTATGTTCATGTTGAATAACTATGAATTATAAGCAGTGCTCATACACTGTCTTGTGTGATCATATATTACCAAACACATTTAAGTATTTTTGGTTTTCATTGTGATGTTTTAGTGAATCTGTAAATTGCATTCAGGAAGAGACTTTTTCCTGATATATGTAACTTTAGTCCTTACTATAAATATTTACTGGGACCCTGTGCAGCTCCTGAGGTTCCCAAGACTACTCTTAGGTTTGATGATTTGCCAGAACGATCCATGGAACTCAGGAAAGCTGTTATTCACTGTTACAGTTTCTTATAACAAAAAAAGATTAAAAGCAGCATAGGTAAGAGGCACATAGGGCAGGGTCCAAGAGATACCGGGCATGGAGTTTTCAGTTTTCTTCTCCTAGTGGAGTTGTTCATGCAGTGTTTACTTCTTCCAGCAACAATGTGTGGCAACGTGCATGGAGTATTGCCAACTAGAGAAGCTCACCTGAGCCTTAGTGTCCAGGATTTTTATTGGTGTCTGTCATGCAGGCAAGACTGCCTGCCTGTGTGGTTGACATTAGTCTACACCCTCTCTAGAAGTCGAACTAATACCCTGTGAACCAAAGTTCTCATCATAAATCACATTGTATAGACTACCTGGTGTTGCCCGAAACTCCCATGTTGACAAGGATACCCTATCTGGCAGGACATTCCAAGAGCTTAGAGGTTATCATTCAAGAGCTAGGGGCAAGGGCCAAACATTAGGCAAGGGACATACATACCGTTAGAAAGATTAACGTCTTAGGTAGGACCTCCCTGTCTGCGTTCTTCTGTATTTCACAGCTGAGGTATGATTTTGATCATGGGTCCACTGTTTTTTCTTGGATCCATCCATATGAGAGATCCTAGAACTATATTTTTAACTTCCTATTCCACAAATAGTGTAATACACACCAAGAACCACCTGGTTAACACTGTAAGAAGTAGGGGTGATGGTGACTATCAGGATAGATATGCTCATAAGTGGTAGATGAAATTCCATGAGGTTTCAGGTGAGGAGAAGACATAGTGAGAATAGACTCTCAAGCCTTGACATTTGAGGAGTCTTAGGACAGAAGAAAGAGAATCTTGGCAGATAATTGTAAGCTTCATGTCAGGGGGTGTGGCTGACCAGCTACGGGAATTTCACACTAGTGTACAAAGTGATTCATTGAAATATTCAGTAGTTTAATAATCATCTCTTGCACTCTGCTGTCCTGTTTTGTGCCAGGTGTGCCAAGCATTGAGAAGATAATGCTGAGCAGAAACAGGCATGCTCTCAGCCCTTGTGGAGATTGTTGGTTTTGATTTTGTTTTTTGTGTTTGTTTTTTGCAGGTGGGTGGGGGATGTAGAAATAAGCAGCAAGGACATCTGCTGAGAATATTGGGATGGAGTCAAGGGGAAGTGATATGTAGAGAAAAGGAATCACACTGGATCCTTCCTCAAAGTCAGTCAAGCAAGGCTTCCCAAATAGCCTCTCAGTCCCACCTCCAGTGGCAGAAAAGGCCAGATTAACAATTGTACACATTTGTTTTGTTTTTTAATCTTTCTGGGTCAGTGGCATTCATCTTTGGTCACTTACATTCCTCAGAGCTCTCATTTTCCTAGACAAGGACTGACTGAAAGATTATCTAGCTTTCCTGGGCTGCCAGCATTTTGGGAAGACCTAGACACCACCCTGACCGTCCGATCCTGGTATTATATAAAGAGCTCTAGAAATAGGTTGTGTGAGGGTTAGTTCCTGGTCTGTTACCACTCACTATGAGACAGACACCACTGAGGATGTCAGTGAGTTGCTATCGGACCCCCTTCGTCCCTCACCCCCATCTTCCATACCTTTCAGCCTCAAAGACTTGTTTTTCATCTGGTTTATAGACTTCTACATTAGATGCTTATTGGAAGAAAGGGTATTCTTCTAGAAGAAATTTTTCAAAACCAGTTACTGAACCCCTATATACAACTCATTTTTTCCTGTATGCAAAATAAACTATACCTTTCCTGAGCTACAAATGTATGGGACTTTACAGAGGGAATAAATCACCTGAAAATCTTGCTTAAAATGCAGAATCTGGGTTTCTGCCCTGGGATTCTGGTTAAGTATGGCATGAGACCCAAGAATCTGCATTTTTAAACAGCATCTCAAGTGATTCTGATGCTGATGGCCCCTGGATCTGCCTATTAACCTCTGTGCTATACAGGGTGTATACAGATTCAGTAGGGTAATGCAGTCTGAAGAAAGCAACTGGAAGACTAGAGAGGGACCTTCTCTAGCCCCAGGGCGTTCACTATTACTAAATTACTCATGTAAATCCTCTGTCCTTTGTCCTCTCTTCCCTTTTTATTGCGGGAAAATGTGTGCTTTAGAGGCAAAGCTTTCCATCATGGTCTTCAATGCTCTTGCAGATTACAAAATCGCAAAATATGCTATTTTATAGAAAAGATAGCATACTGTAGCAGATTTTATAGGATTGGTTTTACTTGAAATAATGTAAATTGTTTTTTAAAACAAATACAGAGGTACCTATAACATAAATTTCAACGAGATGCTTCCTAAGAGAAGTCTTGAAATCTAAAACAAGGGGTGCTTCTGAAGATTTACTTATGCATATGGTGAACATTGTTAAGTTTAAAGTCATTTCGTTTCCCCCAATCTTACTTTAAAAGCTTTCCAAGAGATTAATGGACAAGAAATTCAAAGAGCCAATCACCAGTGCATTACAAAAGCTAGAGCAACGTGGCGGAAGTGTAAGTAGAATCTTATTCCTTAAGTCTTTTTTTTTTTTTTTCTAAACTTTTAGGCATATTATTAAATCGACTATATTTAACATATACTGTCTCATTTCAGCCACAGGTAACTATGTGAAATTGATACTGTTATTTTCCTTTTAGAACTCAGAGTTTCTATCTCTAGGTCAAGCCCTGCTGCTCAGACCAGACTCAGATTGAATAAATGTAGGGCTTGTGTACTTTCACAGTGCTTAATATGGCATTCCATGTGGCACAGTGGTACAGTTTTCTTTTCTTTAAAGTATTTTCAGTGGTTTAGTTTTGACCATTGAAAAGTTCAGAAAACCAAATGATTAACTTAGCTCATTGAGGAAAAATACTTTTTTCTCTTTCATTTGCTGTCTTTCTGACTTAGACGTCCAGATGATTGCACTATTCTGTCTGTAAGTGCGTGCATACCACATAGGTGTAGACACACACACACACATGCACACACAGTGCTGGAATAGTTTAATTGGTTATTCTAACTTTTCAAGGTACAAAAATATGGAGGATTTCATAACTATATGATGTCAAATTACTAGACTAGTTGAACTTTCAGCATTTGAAGGAAGCATTCAGATAATCTCATCTTAGAAATATTTCCATAAAAGCAGTCCTTGCTTGTGGGAATTTTGTTTAATCAGATCTTAATGATAGAATTACATGTGACTATCTTAACATTGCATAATTTAGTTCCATTCTAGGTACTTCTGAAGGAATTAGTTATGAGAAAATTTGCCTGATCATATATAATTTTTAAAATGGCAGACATAAAGCTTTAGCGAAATTACCTCGTTTGACCAATTTCAGTGGGTTGTTTGATTATATTCTTTCCATAATGGATGCCTAGAATACAGTTTACAAGAGGAAGTAAGTCCCAAAGCCTACTAGGTAATAAATTTCTTTGTTGTGTTTGGGTCCTAGGCAGAGAATTAGCATTCGGACACCTTGAGGAGCTGTGCAGAACCTTCCCCTAGCTAATCCCATGTCTCCTCTGCAGCAAGGAAATTCTTGCTTGCTCTTCTGAGAATTTAAATGTAAAATATATTTCTCCTTTCTTCTTCTGTGGAGTGGAAGTGAACAAATGCTAAATAATGATGCCACAGCTTTTCAGTGGGAAACCCTCCCTAGGTAGTTTTCCATATCCTGTGGGCCAGTATGGGAAATGGGACAAGTAGAAAGGGACAGGCCAAGCATATTAGATTTTGTGGTGGGAGTGGAGGGGGTGTGGAGGAGGAGATAGTATACATGTAAATAAAGTTTAGAAACAACATATTAAGATTTGGAAGGGGAACACAGGTGTACTTGAGCAATCCAGGATCCCAGAAATATCAAATTCTTTCTTTACTACTCCATCTTACTAGCTTTGAATGTTGCTAATACAGAATTTTTAAAAAGATTTTGTAGTTAATTACTTATTTTCTTCTGACTTCTCTTGTTTTCTCGTTATGTCCTACATAATATTTTAATAATAGATTGCAATAGAAAATTTTCTATTGCAATTACATGCCAAAGACTTTCTCTTGGCTTAATTACTATTGTGCTAGCCTCTATTACTTTGTAATCCTTCATGAAATTAATGCTCTTTTTTCTCTTCTGAGAGTGTAAAAGCTTATATATCTTCCTTTCTTTAAATATTAGAAATAAGTCTTTAAAAATGAGTGTTCTTAGTTGTGGTTTCTCATTTCTTAGGACTTGTGTATATCAATGATGGAACTATTCAACGTCTGGGTACAGGAAAATATCTGTTACCAGATAGTCACAGTGTTACTTTCTTAGAACTGATCTGCCTTAAATTTGAAATCAGTTCATTCTTAGCCTGATTTGTTTTTTTTTTCTAAGTGAAATGCATATTTATTTTGGGAAAGGCACAACACAAATCCTGATCTTTATTGGTTGTTTGGGAACTTAATACATGGCAGGTACTCTGCAGAGTACTTTTTAGACATGAAACTCATTTACTCTTCCTAGTCATCAGAGGGAGATTCTATTGTTATCTCCCTCTAAAGATCAAGAAACTTAGGCACAGAGAAGTAATTAATCCAGGTTTGACAAATAAGTGACCAGTAGATGCTGAATTCAGATACCGGTAGTCTGGCTTCTAACTACTTATCTAGTTAGATACTTCAAAAAAAAAAAAAAAAAAAGAAAGAAATAGCCTATATTTTATTTAACGCAGCGAAAAGTCCTCCTTATTTCATCATTTTGTTCTTACCCCCTTTTTTTTGTTTTGAGTTTTGGATACTTTCTAGGCATATTCCTGCAAATACAATACCTGTTAGGGGAAGTCTGCATGATACTAATGATGCTCAATTTTTTCTGTTGACAGGGAAGCCTTAGCATCATCAAATCTAAAATTCCAACGTACTGCTCCATATGCTGTTGAAGAAGGGAGCCAACAAAAATTGTTTTTACTACCTGGTGACGTGTCAAACACTGACTGTGGGTACTCATGGAATCTTTATTCCATGTATTTTATTCTTTTGTAAATCACAGCCACCCTTCATTATTTACTAGGTTAAAATGAATATACACTGAATCAAAGTTATTCAGCAACAAAAAAGAACAGTTACTAATGGAAAGTTACTAAAATAAGTTCTGTAAGAGTACAATTTTCTGAGGTTTTTTTTTTTAATTTTTATTATTTGTGCAAAGAACCATTATTGAGTTGGCAAGATAAGATGCATTTGTATTTTCTGGTGCCTTTTTATTTATAACAGTTTTTTGGCAAACAATTTGTAGCTGTGCCCTGATTTTTATAGATAGTTTGCCGTTTCTTGGGTTTAATATTTAACAAGACTGTAGAAATTTAAAATAGTGGACAAATGTTTGTGAATACACTTTTTAAAAATTGTTTTAAAAGAGAGAAGGGATCTTGCTTTGTTGCCAGACTGCAGTGCAGTGGCATGATCGTAGCTCACTGCAAGCCTCAAATTTTAGTGCACAGATGATCCTTTCATCTTAGCTTCCCGATTAGCTGGGACTACATGGTGGCACATGCCACCATGCCTGGCTAATTTTAAAATTTGCTTGTAGAGATGGGATCTCACTCTGTTGTCCAGGCTGGTCTCAGTTCTGGCCAGTGATCCTCCCACAATGAACTTCCAAAGTGCTGGGATTACAAGTGTGAGCCACCATGCCTGGCCCCATGAATACACTATTAATTATTGTTTGTAAATATGTATTGTATAATGTACAATGCTTGGAAAATTTTTTCAGAGTATTCTAGAATAGTTTAAGAAATTTTTTCTAATTCTGTAAATTCTATTACAAGTATGTTGTTTATCACAACTCATTACAACTACCTAAATTTTAGGTGTTAACTCTATTTAAGTAAATACTATTTTTGCATTTCATAGCCAGAAAATACTGATGTTCATGTAAGGATATTCAGCAATTAAAATGTTAAAACTTGTACATGCATTGATGGATTTTGTTGTGCTTATGTTTAGCAATTTTTAAGAAGCTTTTAAATCTTAATTTAGACATAGTTCAGAATTTTGATGTAATAGAAGCGATTCCTTCTGCAAGAGAGGAGCAGAGGAGAGGAAGAGAAATGGAAAACAAGAATAAGACCTTCTGTCTTATGAGCAAAAGGAGAGGGCATAGAGATTTCTGTAGCCACACCGAATCCAAGGCATGAAAGGGATGGAAAGGAAAGATGGGTCTTGCGGAGCAGCAGTGTTGCATCTCAGCAGCTTTGCAGAATGCACTTTCCTTGCTCTATTCCCCAAACACCTGGAGTGACCTCTACGATTCTCATTTCAGGTATAATCTCACAACTGTAATTTGAAAGAGAACAAGTAATTTCTGAGGATTCTTAATGTAGAAATGCCCACCCTGCCTCAGAGCTTGTCCTTCCTGAGCCCTTTGTCTAGCATACTTTTTCCTCTGGTCTCTACTCCCTTGTCACATCCTCTGATCATACTAGCTACAACAGCTGCCTGCCCACTGGCCTTGCTTTTACCTGTTTTCATTGCATTGAGGACCACCCAGAGCTATCTGCGATCTAGAAAATAGTATAAGATTTAGTTTTAAATCTAATAATTACAAAAAATTCTTGGAAAAGACCTATAATATAGACAGTAGAGTTATAAACATTTTATTTTGCTTTTATTTTTTCTTTTTGAAATACAAAATGTGCACATTGAGTTTACACAAACACGCGATGGCAAATTTCAGTGTACATGTATTGTACTACTCTTAATTTCTACACTGGTGATAGCAGGGCAGCTTTCAACATCCTATCTCTACACCAGAATAGATACCTGATTTATTGTTGCAAAGACAGTTGCAAATTTCCTCCTTCTGTAGCCTCTTGGTCTTTGTGATATTTCTACAAAATAGGGACGATGTGTGTGTCTTTAGTAATGTGGCAACTTTACGGTTTTGGCTGAGATGATTAAAAATAATCTGAATTGTTGGAATTTTATGATGCACTAAATCATATTGTAATCTGGATTAGTTGTTGAGCACTTATTTTCTACTGAATCTTGGTAGTAGTTGTCAATGTAATGGAACCACTGGTGCTTTCAAAGTGAATTTTGCTTGCTGTTTGTTCGTTCCTAGTAGACAGTGGGGTAGTCAAGGTTTCTTTGTCCCTGAATGGCTTGTAATATAAACATGCTGTAAGGAAGTCAGGGGAAAGAGGACAGATTTGGCCTTTAATGCTGTTAGGATTACTTGTTATTAAGCATTAACATATACTGGAGGATAGATATCCTGACCCTTTGCATATGTCTGTAAACATCCTTGTTTTGTTTGATGCCGTCTTGAACTTCCACTTGATGATACAATGGAAAACAGCCTGTAAGATTAAACAAATCCAAAATTATATATAGTATATAGGCCTTGGCTATAATGTATGATGGAAAATTAAATGCTTAATAAGTTTTATTAGGCATATGCTGATATCTGATGATAAATTTTTAAATGTTTAAAAATACGAGATAAAATTAATTTCTAATAGAAGGTGGGAAGGAAGGCCATAGAAACTGGAACTATGTGTTTAATTGTAGTAATCTTATTTGTTTACTTAAAGTATATAAATGGAATTACAGCATTCAGACATGAAAATTAATTTAATTTCTGGAAATTAAATGCAGATGTCAGTATATTAGAAAACCATTCAAAATCCTAGGACTGAATACATACAAATGAGTAGCAAAAAACACTGGTATTTTAAAATCACTGATATGTGAAAGCCTCAATAATCCCATGGCTAAGGAATCAGTAAAACTATATGCCAGATTCTATTACTTTTGAATATTCACAGAGTATGAAATGAGTTAGAACATCCCATGAACTCAGTGGCGTTATGGAAAGGATGCAAGTTTATAACTGAGAAACTCAAATCTTTTGGGGATTGCTTTATATTAAAACAAAGCTTGTTTGCATAATATGCTTCAGTGTCAAGCTGAGCAATCTATGCTAAAAGTGGTAGCTCCGACTTTAAGGGTGGTAGAATAGTTCACATTTGTCTGTTGGATTCAGGATCTAGTTGACAAGTTAAATCACATTTTCAAAGAGCTGCATGGAGCGCATTATGTTTTCATCCTGTAAGGGAGAAACATAGAGCGATTAAATTCATCATATCTGCAAGGGAAAGTACACTATTTTGCCCCTAAGTATTGCCCCCTTCCACCAACCACCTATGCCAAAAGCTCAAATATTAAGTGTTTGCAAATATAAATGCCATTCTATCCGTTTTCCACATAGATCACGATGAAGGAGGACCCATTTTATATTTTGTGGAGTCTATTGACGGCATTAAACTACTTTATTTAAATCTTTACTTGGTATTTAATAGAGGATATTTCTCAAATCATAATGCCAAAATGGAAACTACAGAGGCGCAGAGGTAAGTCAAAGCAAATGAGAATTTTGGCATTCTATGTAGATCACAGGCCAAATCACACAGACTTTTATACAGGTACAAGGAAAATTGTGTGTGTGTATGAGCCAGCAGTTCATGAAGATTGGAGGCTGGAGTGTAGGAGGCAGGATAGTGGTTTAAGAGGGAACATGTTTGCAGTAATCATTTCTTTCTCTGTCTGCAAGTTATGGCTAAATCTGTGTTGCCTGAAGGAGACTTTAAAAATGAATGGTCTCCATTACAGAGAAAGGATTGGGGAGCAGAAACGACTGCTCAGTGGCTGTGTTCAGCTTAGCGTATTCTTTAGAAATGAGTTAGGGGACAGATTTTTTGCATTATTGGAGCACTTGTCGGTTGCATGTGAATAGCACTTAGTGAGCTGTTTATGGTAGTGGTAAATGGTGGCTGAACCAATAATGGCTTCCACTGCTAGAAACCAAGTAACAACATCACCACCAAGCAGCTTAATGTCACCAAACTAATTCACTCAAAGACCACCACATTGAAATCCAGGTTGAGAAACAAGCAGACATCCAGAAAGGTAAGAACAACAATTTAAAAATACAGAAACAACAGATTTGTTTTCATGATTATTTGAATGTTTTTTTTTTTTTTTTCGAGGCAGAGTCTATTTCTATTGCCCATCATTCTGGAGTGCAGTAGCACAATCATGCCTCAACTGGGCTCAAGTGATCCTCCCAAGTAGCTGAGACTTGAGCCACGTGCCACCATGCCCAGCTAACTTAATTTTTTTTTTTTTTTGTAGAGATGGGGTCTTGCTATGTTGCCCACATTGGTCTCAAGTTATTTTCCTGCCTCAGCCTCCCAAAGTGCTGGGATTACAGTTGTGAGCTACTGTACCAGGCCTTAACAATTTTTAACTGTGGTTCTACTCACATATCAAGTCAGATAATTCTAAGTAAGCTAACACTGGTTTCTTCGATAGTGGGCTACTACCTGCAGTTCTCTTCAGAGAAAATTTTCCACTGTTTCTTTTTTGTGACAGAAGACCATTATTGAGTTCAGCCAAAGAGCCATTTCTTGTCCACATACACTAAAATAATGATTTTTCTCTTAGAAATCAGATAGAAGCTTGGCCTGTTGTGATGCATACTTGGCTATTTAGGAATTCTAATTCTATGGAAATATGATAGATAATGTGAGTTATGCTAACTCTGTGCAAAGAGAAATTCAAATTCTCATATATGTTTTATCCTCCACGATGAATACTCTCTAAGGAATTGGGGAATCAAAAACACAGTACAGGCTGGGTGCAGTGGCTGCGCCTGTAATCCCAGCACTTGGGGAGGCTGAGGTGGGTGGATCACGGGGTCAGGAGATAGAGACCATGGTTAAACCCTGTTTCTACTAAAAAATTAGCCAGGTGCAGTGGTGGGTACCTGTAGCCCCAGCTACTCGGGAGGCTGAAGCAGGAGAATGGTGTGAACCTGGGAGGCAGAGCTTGCAGTGAGCCGAGATCACAGCACTGCACTCCAGCCGAGGCAACATAATGAGACTCTATGTAATTGGTGCTTGTTTTTAGAGTGTTAGGCTTATGTTGCAGGTTGTAGAAGTGGTAAACTTAGGCATATGATCTCTGTATTTTGCCCAGTTCATGGTAGCTAGCTGCTAATACTCAGTTTAGCTGTTATGATAGCTGAAGTGATAGTTCTTATACTTTCATTACTTACTTTTTGGCAGCTTTCAATGAACTCATCTATGGTAACAACCCCATCTTTATTTTTGTCCATTTTCTGTTCAGGAAGAAAACAAAAAATTATATTTAGACTTATATCCCTTAATACCCTCACACCTGCACCAAATGAGCTGAAGCTGATAAAAGGAAAACCTAGCTGCTTATTTCACGTGGAGGATCTGTTTCAGAGCAGAAACCAGTAGTTTCTTAGAGATAAAAATGATAGGGCCAAATCCTTCTGGCTGTTCCCTTTTCAATATAATATGGTGAAGATTTAGAGTCACTCTGTCCTAGGTAAAATCCTACCTTTTAGATATGACAGAGCTCGGCCAATTTGCTGAAACTTTCAGAGCTTTCTTTTTGTCTCATCTGTAAAATGGGATTAATGAGGATTTATAGGATTCTTGTAAAAACCGAATGAAAACAAAACTTGTGAAATATGAGAATTGTTTAAATGTTGTACCTTGGATTTAGTGAATGTTCAATGAGTGTAGTTATCAGCATTGCAAATTCAAAATCAAAGCTATTAAATTAATAGGATGGTAAATACTGTTTTGTCTCAGTAAAAATTATTTTCCTTTGCATCATCGTGGTGCTTGGCAAACATCAGGAAATTTTCTCCTAATTTCATTCCCTCTTGACTTCTGTTTCCATTCCTACCTGAAAAAATGTTTCGACATGTTGTCTGGGAGCATCTTCTTTGAGGACAGGATATGTACATTTACCCATCATGTCGTATATTGCTTTCATTATATCAAGCATTTCCTGAAAAGTAAAAGGCTTATGTGAGGTTGCACACATGTATGAAGAAACCATTCTAAGAAGCTCTGACAGATTTTTCCTACTCAATGACGACTGTTGGTTGTCCCAAAGGAAAAGCCAGCAAACAGCTTTCTGCCTCAAGAGCAGAAGAATCAGATGTGAGAATGAATTCTGATCTCTTGGTTTCAAAATGAAGCAAATTTCCATGTATCTACCATAGTCAGGAAAAGAATATGCTGGTTTAATGTTTGGATTTCTATAGACTTTAAGTAGACCATGCTTATTTAATTGAATTATTATATATCTTACTTGTTGATCATCAGTTTCCATCTATTGAGAGTCAAATATACTGCACACCATATATTGAGAAAAAACACCATTTAGAATTAGTGAAATTAATTGGTAAGTCTTAAAGTTCATTAGGATTTTTGTTGTATTTTTCCTACTATGGCTTTAACTGAAGTCACATGTGAAGACCAGTCAAAATATTTTGACCCTGGGAAACACCTTGAAATTTTATTAAAACAGTCTAATTTTTGCCTTACCATTTTCATTCTTATGAGAGTAAAAATAATGTCTAATAACTTAAACATGTAGATTTATTGTTGCACATTTGTTTCACATGAAAGATCTCTCGACTAGGTTGATAATACAGGTATATACTTTTAAGAGTATTCAATTCTATTATAAATGATAAAGTAATTTGTAAACAGGTGAAACCTTTTAAGATGTTTTAAGCATAGATAAGTAGCAAGTAGTTTGTTAGACACAGGCAGAATTCTTGAGATGTGTTAAAACATAGAAAGGAATTGAAGAACAAGACATACCTAATACTCCTGAGGTACCTGGGTAATAAATATTCAGGGTATAAAAATATACAAGAAGCACTAACTATTTAGGATATGCTGTATATACATGAATACTTAATAGTCATTGAGGTCTTAATTTGGCACCCAGTGGTGACAGCTATTCTGGCCCCAGGTGTCCGCTGTGCAAGAAACACAAATGAAACTCATGACTACTTATCAGGCTATACTTGTGGCCAGGCACACTTGCACCTGTGTCTCTCCAATAGAGCAAGTTCATGTCACTGGCTGTTGGCCCCAGGCACCTTTTGTATGTGGGGTCTCTTGCTCAAAATGCAATTCTGGGAAAGGCTTGTGAGGCAGAGAGAGACAGGACATAAGCACACAGCATGCTCAGGATTCAGGGAGTGTGGTCTTTGCATCCTCTCCTGTGTAGTTAACTTACCGGTCCCTTTGCTTCTCGCTGTGTTTTAAACTGTTTTAATAAACTGTAATACGAGTATCTTAATTTGGTCTGTGAGCCTTGTTTCCTGGATAGTCTTCCTCAAAGTGCATTTGGAGACCCTACCATTGCATCAGGCCATTCCACAATCCCCATGATTGTAAAATTGCATTTCCTTATGGATCACATGCTATGGGGAAAAGAAAGGCTTCAGGCTAAATATTGAAACATGGCTTGGATACATTTTCTTTCTGATTCCAACCATGGTCCTGATACTGTGAATGGAATAAAGATGCCAGCAGGAAAAAAGTGTATAATCTTTGTGTTAACATATTTACTTTGGAGCTTCACCATAAACCTTTTCTATCTATTCCAAATTTTTAATTATACATCTTTCTTCCACTACATAAAATACTTCGGATTTCCTGAGAAAAACTTTTCAAATTAATAATTGCAATTAATATTTTAAAGTTAAGAAATGAAAATCTTCCAAATTATTGCTATGGTGGTGAGGTATCCCTTACCTCTTTAGTGATGTAGCCATCTTTATTTATATCATACAGATTAAATGCCCAATTGAGTTTTTCTTGTACTGTCCCCCGGAGCAAAATGGAAAGACCTTTGATGAAATCCTAAAAAGAAAGAAAAATACAATTTTATATGACATTTCTAAAAGAAAAAAAAAAAAATGATGGAAGTAAGGGCTACAACCCTCTGGAATTTGAACCATTTATTTAGCAAAATGATTGATGTGTTATTGGTTGTCTATTTTTCAGACTTCTCTGTGGGCATAAATCACTCGTTAGTCTTAACATTTTCATCTTGTAATTGGAAACTGAGTTAAATCAATGGTAGTACTGGAAATTGTACCAATGGATACCCACACGTCAAGAGGCTTGAGTATAAGTGGTATTGGCTTTCCAGTGCAAGCACACATGATATACTAAAAGAATCTAATAGTTTTTTTTTTTTTTTTTTAAATACAAGTGCACACATAACACACTTCAATGAAAAAACGTTTGCTACTAAGAAATGTGCCTGACCATAAAAGATAAACCAATTGTGGTCTCTAATTAGAAATCCAGTTATAATTTACATGTGGACAGTGGGTAAGAGCATGAAGCTGGAGAGGACAGACTGCCTGGTTTCACCCTCCAGCTGTATTACTGGATGGCTTTGTGTCTTCAGGCAACTTAACATCCCTTTGCCTCAATTTTCATATCTGTAAAATGGAGCTAATAATAGTGTCTACCTCTTCACAATTTTATGAGGATTGAAAAAGAGGCTGCTTATAATTGTCCCTGGCAAGGACATTGGCTGTGTAGGTTTTTGTTAAGTAAATGGAGCCCTCAGTTTGTATCCTGGTTAAGCTGGTTTGATTGCATTGCAGACTGGCCAGATTAACTTGATTAAATTCGTTTAGAGAGAGATATATATATATATATATATTTTTTTTTTGAGATGGAATCTTGCTCTGTTGCCCAGGCTGGAGTGCAGTGGCGTGATCTTGGCTCACTGCAACTTCCACCTCCTACCTCCCTGGTTCAAGCAATTCTTCTGCCTCAGCCTCCCGAGTAGCTGGGACTACAGGCATCCGCTACCATGCCTGGCTAATTTTTGTATTTTTGGTAGAGATGGGGGTTTCACCATGTTGGTCAGGCTGGTCTCGAACTCCTGACCTTATGATCTGCCCGCCTTGGCCTCTCAAAGTGCTGGGATTACAGGCATGAGCCACCGTGCCCAGCCAGATTTGTTGTTGTTATGTACAGCAGAGTTAACGTTACAATGTGCCGTATTCAGTTTATAATCCAGTTTTAAGTAGGAATGAAAGCAGAGGGGAAATCCAAAAGTCTTCTGGGTGAATTTGCATTGTATCTCCCTTTCCCACATTCCCTTATTTTATAGCTGTATTTCTGTCTGAATTTCTCAAATTGTTTTTTCTTTTTTAAATAAGTAATATCCATATAGTTCAACATTTAAAAATTATGTAAGCCGTCTGGTGAAAAACCTTTCTTCCATTCCTGGACCCAGCCACCTGTTCCTTTTACCTATAGACAACTGGCATAAATAGTTTGTATTTACTTCCAAGGAATTTTTGTGCATATACAAATATAAGATACATTTGTTTGTCTTATTGGCTAACAGACTTCTATACTTTTTTTTCCACTTAACCATAAATCAGGGAAACAATTCAAGTTTCTATTGTATATGTAAATACATCATTGTTTATTTAACCAAATTGTTCTTTTACATTTTTTCTCATTGTTATTTCTAGGTATTTTAACCTTTCTGTTGCTGTTGTAAATGAGATATTTTTCTATCATATATTCTAAATTAGTTGTTTGTATGTATGAAAGCTATTGATTTCTGTGTAATTTTGTACCCTGTCAACTTGCTGATACCATATATTGGTTTTCTTCTGGGTTTTCATGTGTGCAATAATAGTAGCTGCAAATGGAGTTAATTGTACCTGTTTTCTAATTTTTATATGTTTACTTTTTTCTAATTATATGGCCTAATATCTATAGAACAATGTTACATCATGTAAATTATAATAGATATTCTTAGTTTTTTCTTGAACTTCAGAATATTTCAATTCACTTTTAAGCATGATACTTAGTTTTATCATGGTGAAAATGGTACAACCATTCCACTTAGGCAAATTTATCAAGAATGGCCACTGACCTTTTTTGGCAAAAATGAAAAAGACAAAACCAGAAATAATTGTCAAATTCATATTGCAAGGGGCCCTGAATAGCCCAGTCAATTTTAAGAAAGAAAAACAAACTTGGAGGACTCACACTACCTAATTTCAAAACAGTACAAAGTTACATTAATCAAAACAGTGGTACTGGCATAAAGACAGATGTATACAATAGCAGAATAGAATTGAGTCTAGATATAAACCCAGCTGTCTGTGGCCAGTTGATTTTTCAATAATGGTGCCAGGACCATTCAATAGCTATGGAAAGAATAGTCTCAATATATGGTGCTGTGGCACCTGGATCACCATACTTAGTCTACTTCCCATTGGCATGCAAGTTAGAATGTCAAGTGAGAGAAGAAGAGAGAAGGCCACAAGGAATTCCAATATTTGGCAGGCACAGAGAGGAGAAGCTGGCAAAGCATCTTGAAAAGAAGTTGCTAAAGAAGTGAGTCAGGAGAACAGAGCATTTCCATAGGAAAGGATTGTTCATTTTGCTGCCAAGATTAGAAAAATGTTCATTGGACCAGCAACATGGAGGTCACCAGCAAGTGATAGGGAACAGTCCAGTGGAGTAGGAGTGAAGAGTAATTTTTAATGAGGAGCACTTTGAATACTGAAGAGAAGAATCTAAAAAGAGTAAGAGTCAGAAATGGGCTGATGCTCCTGAGAAGGTGGGGAGGCTCCAGAACGCAGGTAGATGGGCCGACCTCAGAAGGGAGTTGATACAGGAGACAGAAGGACATGGTGTGGATGCCAGTAGCTGCTTTGCAGGTGGGAAGATGACTGCATTTCTGTCTGATAGCTTTAGTGAGTGTGAGGTGTTTGGGAGTGAGGAGCCAGGTAGAAGAGGTATGAATCTGAGGTTTGAGGAGAGAGGTGGGAGCTCTGCTACTAGGCAATAAGGTGATGTGCAAATTAGAAAAACGGAGACCTCCCTCAAATTATTTCCCTGCCATATTTTAGAAAATTATGACGTATAATGTAGTTTAATTAAAAGGTAATGACAGCCCTTGGAGGTGTGAGTGTACATCTTTCAAAACCAGCAGGCTGGGGATCATGGCTCATGCCTGTAATCCCAGCACTTTGGGTGGCAGAGGTGGGAGGGTTGTTTGAGCCCACGAGTTTGAGAGCAGCCTGAGCAACCCAGCCAGATCCAAATTAACAAGAACAACAAATTAACGGTGTGGTGGTGCACACCTGTTGTCCCAGCTACTTGGGAGGCTGAGACGGGAATTGCTTGAGCCCAGAAGGTTGAGGCTACAGTGAACTAATTGCACCACTGTGCTTCAGCCTGGGTGACAGACCAAGACTGTCTCAAAAAAAAAAAAAATCCTTGGCTTTTTCAGAAGGTATAAAATATACATTGCAGAACACAGAGCCTTATTCACAGAAGATTGCTGAGCAGTTTTGAAAGCTAGATGAGGTTGATGGTTATTAATGTAAACTATTTTTTAAAAATTTACAAAGTAGTAACAATATGTCATTAATTTTAAGGGGAGCTGGCTACAGGGTCTTTGAAAACATGCTTAGAGTATTGGTTCTCAAAATATAATGTGCAACACCTGGGGAGCTTGCTAACAGATTTCTGGGACCTACCCCAAGAATGATTCATTAGGTTGGAGTGGGACCCCAAAATTTACATGTCTGACACGTTCCAAGGGGAAGCCTATACTGCTTCCAGGGATCACACTTTGAGAACCACTGGCCTACAGTACTCATCATTGGCATTGACCTCACCACCATACAAAACAGAGTAACAGTGAAAGATTTAAAGAGTACTTTTGGGGAACCTCCCCCCCAAGATGGCCGAATAGGAACAGCTCCAGTCTACAGCTCCCAGCATGAGCGACACAGAAGACGGGTGATTTCTGCATTTCCAACTGAGGTACCAGGTTCATCTCATTGGGACTTGTTAGACAGTGGGTGCAGCCCATGGAGTGTGAGCCGAAGCAGGGTGGGGCATTGCCTCACCCAGGAAGTGCAAGGGGTCAAGGAATTCCCTTTCCTAGCCAAGGGAAGCCGTGACAGATGGTACCTGGAAAATCGGGACGCTCTCACCCTAATACTGCACTTTTCCATTGGTCTTAGCAAATGGCACACCAGTAGATTATATCCCACACCTGGCTCGGGACGTTCCCATCCTAATACCGCACTTTTCCAATGGTCTTAGCAAATGGCACACCAGGAGATTATATCCCGCACCTGGCTCGGAGGGTCCCACGCCCACAGAGCCTTGCTCCCTGCTAGCACAGCGGTCCAAGATCAAAGTGCAAGGCAGAAGCGAGGCTAGGGGAGTGGCGTCCACCATTGCTGAGGCTTGACTAGGTAAACAAAGCAGCCCGGAAGCTCGAACTAGGTGGAGCCCACTGCAGCTCAAGGAGATCTGCCTGCCTCTGTAGACTCCACTTCTGGGGGCGGGGCATAGCTGAACAAAAGGCAGCAGAAACTTCTGCAGACTTAAACGTCCCTGTCTGACAGCTCTGAAGAGAGTAGTGGCTCTCCCAGCCTGGAGTTTGAGATCTGACAACAGACTGCCTCAAGTGGGTCCCTGACCCCCGTGTAGCCTAACTGGGAGACACTTCCCAGTAGGGGCCGCCTGACACCTCATACAGCCAGGTGCCCCTCTGAGATGAAGCTTCCAGAGGAAGGATCAGGCAGCAACATTTGCCGTTCTGCAATATTTGCTGTTCTGCAGCCTCTGCTGGTGATACCCAGGCAAACAGGGTCTGGAGTGGTCCTCCAGCAAACTCCACCAGACATGCAGCTGAGGGTCCTGACTGTTAGAAGGAAAACTAACAGAAAGGAATAGCATCAACATCAACAAAAAGGACATCCACACCAAAACCCCATCTGTAGGTCATCATCATCAAAGACAAAGGTAGATAAAACCACAAAGATGGGGAGAAACCAGAGCAAAAAAGCTGA